CCCCAAAACCCCAAAACCCCAAAACCCCAAAACCCCAAAACCCCTAACGTATGCTTAGCTATAATATTTAAATTTGAGATTAAGGACACTAAATCTTTATATAATTATTTCACAGATGGGTTTAATAGAGATTGTCTTTGACTTTCATTGTTACTTTGTTGTAATAACATACTTGTTGTAATACTTTATGGAATTTGTGGAGGGACACTTATTAATTTTGGGACTGAAAGTGCACTCTGAGTCCTATTTTTATTCCTTCTACTATCTCATCGCACATTTTTTCTATTCAATGACCTCATGCTCTTTGTTCAGAAATTTATGAAGCTGCCTTTTAGATTATGTATTTTATCCTCTTGACAGCCTGTGAGTTTAAGCAAGTTTTTCTGTTTTTTCATTTAATTAGGGCTAAATCATAATATTAAATATTAATTCTTACTTTAAAGGTGATTTCTTATCTTTTGAATGATGACTCTCTCTTTTCTGGTCCGAAAAAATCGTTTCTATCTTAAATATTAATTGACTAAATTTTTTTAACTGCCATTTCTCTGAACTGTTCGAAATTTAATTCCAATTTTCTCTCATCAATCTTCATAAATAGGTCTGCAAGGAGTTCAACTTCTTTATTTCTAAGTTAGCATATATTAATGTCATTTCCTTTAATCTTTCCATCTTAATTGCTATCAATTTTGTCAAATATTTCTCTTATTTTTCTATCTCTTAGCTGATTTACCAAGCTTGAAGATGAATCAGATATAATTTTAGCTTCCTTTTACATATTATCAATATTTTTATTCTTTTATGAAAGCTCAGACATTCGTTTAAGAGATTATTCTTTTGAAAGTTGGTAAAGTTTATCTGTCCTTTATGAGGCCTCCCTCTTTCTTGTTAAGGATACTTGCTCAGATTGATTTAATGATTGATTATCATGAAAACTAGGACTTCCTAATTTTTCTTGATATAATCTAGAATAGAAATCTTCTCTGTTTTCTTTATTTCTAGCTTGGCTTATTTATTCCTCAATTTATTATCCAAACTTTGTAGCTGATCTAGATCTTTGATGAGATTATTGCCTTATTTGATCAATTTTCTCCTCTCTTCTTTTCTTTAAAGATTACTCTCTTTGTTAAGCATCTTCGTAAAGGGATTTAAAGATGATAAAATTGCTTGAATCCTTATCATTTCTAGCAGTCTAGCAAACAACTGTCTGCTTACCATTTCTAGAATGATGATTATTTAGGATATCATGATTTATTCTCATCACATGGATACTATCAAACTCTTCTTAAAAATCTTCTTGAATCTTGTTTTAATGTAAAGAGTTTTATCTACTTTTACTTCTTTTATTATCAGCAATGACTCTAATTGCCTCATTTATTTAAGGCATCAGTTTAAGTTCTGAGTATTACTAGTTTTCATATTCTTACTATCTCTGATGCTTTTAAATTTCATATTGTTTACCAATGTTAAGTAATCTCTCCTCTGGAGGCACGAAATCTCTTTAACTCATCATATATAAAGATTTTTTGTCAATTTCTGGATGAAAGGTATTTGTCTATTTTTCTAATTAAATTTATTCATCTTCTCTCCTCTTAATGCTTTCTTACTGCTTAATAAGTTTAATTTGCCCTAAGTCATAGAGTCTTTGAAAAGCCTGTGAAGTTTGATCTCTATTTAAAGATCTTTATGATTAGCAATACTGCAATCCCTGATACTTTAGTTTACTATTTTTATCACTATTTTAAGCTTATATATACTTTTGGTACTTTTAACTTTAATCTTTCTGCTACTTCATAAGTTTGTCTTTTTTCAGTGATGCAATCTGGTGTAATCTATCATGAACTGTTTAATTTTATGGTGAGAAGGCACTTTTTTGGATACTACCATTTCTCGAAATGAACATTATCTTATTTTCTGAGTTATTTGATTATGTATTTAGCTGTTCTAATCTTGATCTACTTTTTGTCCTTCCATTCATTTTAGATGCAATCTCATCACTCTTCTTATCTATTTGGGGTACGAAGCTAAATTTTTAAAGTTTGATGTTTTCACAGCCATGCTCAAGGCTATAATCCTCAAGAATTTTCTTGAATCTTTCAGATCTACTTTCATTTCTACTTTCTTATTCAAATATCTTATTAATTTGCTAGATTTCATTAAGGTTATGAGCACCTTTCCTGCTTTAACTTCTCTTATTACTCTTACTTTTTAGAGTTATATTGGACCCTTAACCAATTTAAGTTTTGCTTTTAAGGATACTTTGCCTAGATTTTCTGTTTTATTCAGTTGGTTATTACTTTGCAGCTCTTGTTGCTTATAGCTTCTTTTAAGTTTGCTAGTGCTATTAGAATGCATTGCTTTGATTAAATAATTAATTGGTAGTGAAGGTATCATTGCTCTAGACATCATTGATTGATAAAGCGACAATATTTTCAATTGGATTACCATTTGAAGTGCTATACATTAGATTACTTGAAATATTGAATGATTGCTCTTCAGTCTTAGGTGTTAGAATATGATCATTCAAATCATTCTCCTTATCATTGAATTTGGTATTTTAAAGAGATTTGATACCTTAAAATTAATCTTATTTCATCTGTCGGTTATTCGCAACTTTTCTAAAACTTTCTTCAGCAAATGATATATCAGTAATAATGTCTAAATCCTCGATGATACCTGGCTGATTTAGTTTTTCAGACATCTTAGGAGATTTAACAGTTTATCTTTCAGCTAAGAATTCATCCCTCTGCATGCTCATTGAGTCGTTCCTCAATTATTAGGATAAAGTTTCTTGTAAATGGAATATCAATGGAAGGAATATTTGATTGTGATCAAGTTAATTTCTCACAATAAATTCAGAAGCAGCTATCTTGATGCTTTCAAAGTCATTCTTAAAAAGCACTACTTAGTCTTGAAGTCCTTAGGCTATATCTATGTTCATTATCAAGAGAGGCTTTTCAATGTTTGACCCTGTATCTATTGTAAGATTAGATCTATCTTAGAGGATATTTAACTTAGGCTTTTGATTATTAGATTGAACTAGTAGCATATTTTCTCTATCTAGCTACATTTTTAAAATATAATTTAATTATTCGTTAAATAACTATCCCTTTCTTCCATATTATAAATTTCACCTTAAGGGGTTTTGGGGTTTTGGGGTTTTGGGGTTTTGGGGTTTTGGGGTTTTGG